TCCAGAAAGCGTGGGCTATGGGCACAAGTGTGGGTGACAGGCACAAGTGGGCCACTGAGGGGTACCCTGGGAAAAGGGGTGGAGCCATGGCCATATTGGAACTCTGGGACCAAAGAGTGTAGGTAGCTGGGGAGCAGGAAATGGCACGGCAAGAATGGTGGGAGGAGACATGCAGATGCGGAGCCTGTCACTTGGCCTCTCTCCACAGGGCCAGATGAGGCATTCTGACTGTGGGCTAAGATGGGGTGACCCAGGAGAGCTGATAGAGACTATAGGCAGGGCTTGAAAGGCGGGTTATGAGAAGCCATTTCTTTGTAAGTCACCACCTCCCAAATATCAGAGAAATGATGCAAAATTCAAATAAGATGTCTTATGTTGGTCTGTCAGCCTTGGGGCCTCAGAGGGCATGGGTGCGAGTCCCTTCTAAGAAGGAAGGAAAAGGGAAAAATGTATTGGAACTATTCAAACACATTTTATTTTAAGAAACCACATATAGGGAAAGCCCTACAATATTTTTCTTCCCATACCTAGATATAACATACTTCAGTTCTATGTATAGTTATAGTGAATAACAGAATTTTATTTTTTGTGGAAAATAATAAGAACACACACACATATATGTTGAAATGATTGAGTTCAAGTATGTTTTACATGTATTGACTTCAATTCCTTTGTATATATACTCAGTATTATGGGATACCTGAATGATGCTGGCTATACAGAACCACCAGAGAAAGGCAAATGCCACAATGAGCCATTACTTCGCCACACTTAAAATAACACTTCCCAAACACCTGGTAACAAATACCAGAAGGGGAGGGTCAGTAAGAGGATTTCTAGGATCCTATTTACTAGAATGTGCATTAATAAAGCCATTATGTAAAACAGAATGGAGGTTCATTCAATCCTAGGAATTCAGCTGCCATTTGATATACTTTTCTCAACACTGAGTGACGTATAAAGGAACTAAAGTCACAATGTGGAACAGATACCTGCATTTATTCATCATTTTTACACCTTTGTTCTAATGCTCAATATAGGGAACCAATTTTAATGTCAAACATTGTATAAATGTGTAAATAATAGTGTATGTATATTGATATTACCTATTCATAAAACTTTATCATATGCTACACTATGGATGGAAATGGAGAGCATTATTTAAAATGAAAAAATTCAGAGGGTAGAAGAAAAATACTACAAGTTTTTGCCTGTATGTGGAAAGTAAAGTTTTAAACTTATTAAAAAGAAAAGATTGTTCACTACAGCCTAGTAAGCATTCAAGCCACAAGGTTGGGATTGAGGATCCATGTCTAGATGTGCAGTTAAATGGAAATTACCTTTAATGTTCCCCACAAGGAATAACTATGGCTGGAACATTTAATCAGCATTTCATAGTGCCTTGGAGAGACAGGTTTTCAATGTTTCTAACACAAAAAAAGATAAATATATGTGGTGATAGCTCTTCCAATTGCCAGGATCTGACCTTTGCATGTTCTGCATATTGTAATGAATTGTCACAAATTATCTGTTACAATTTATTATTTCTGGTGATGTGTCCTAGATCTTTATAGATACATAGAATCATGTATGTACATATGACAAAAAATTAGAAGTGAAACAGACTGTCTAGAGGACCAAAGGGAGCTCTTAGGATCCTGTCATGGAAGGAGAAGAGAGTGGGGGATGGGAGTCTGCTCAAAGTAAATATTGTGTTTTTTTGTGTGAAAATGGTCTTATGTAACCTAGTAAAACTGAAATTCAAAAAATTCTATTAAAAAATTAAAAATCAAGTTTCCATTAGGAGAGACCAGCATAGTCACAAAGACAGGGCCGAACAAGTACAGCTTACCTTGAAGCTGCTGAAACTCAGGCAGCCTCTCTCTAATTCACGCACAAAAATGAATTAAAAATAAGCATCTTATGTGAACCTGACCAGTGTGGGCACACACAGTACATGATGTGGACAGAATTAACAGAGGTGTGATGATGGCAGCTTCAAACTCAACACCACTCAGCACTACCCCTGAGAGAAGCAGGAGCATTCTGACTTCAAGGCATATCTAGGCTGCAGAGCAAGATCCTGTCTCTAAAATTGTTATTATTCTTGTTGTTGTTGTTGTTTTCTGAGACAGCGTCTCCCTCTGGCCCTAGCTGGCCTGGAGCTGGTTATATAGACCAGGTTATTCTCAATTTCAAAGACTCTGCCTCTCAAGTGCTGGAAGTAAAGGCATGTGACAACATGCTCACCTAAGTTATTATTGTTGCCGTTATTGTCGTTGTTGTTATTATTATTATTTTCATAGTAGGGAAAGTAAAATTCAAAATAATGTCTGCCCAAAGACTCAGAGATTCCAAATAAATAATTGCACCAAATGTGACAAGCTATGACTTACAAAAGCATTACATCATATGAGGTGATTAGTTTGTTTTGCCTGTTCCATGACCTCAAGAGAATGGGGTAGATTACCCCTAGGGTTTGCTTCCCCCATGGCTGTAACTGTACATATAATATATTTGCCAGTCCTAAATGGAGCAGCACATCCTAATATTTTTGTGTGAGCAATGTTAAGATTTAAAAGAAATGTTAAATTTGTCTCAATCAGTAAGTACATTTGGGAGGGAGAAACCGATTCCTTTTTGGCTACACAGGTCTTGACAAACTTGTTAATGAGAAAGAAGCAGGGTATGCGATCCCTCTGTATAGGTTTGTATGAGAGTACTTAGCTAAGCTCTACAAGAGCAGTTAGATGAAATAGACACAGCTGGGATATGGGAACAGAACAGAACTAAGAATTTGGGAAATGTGTTATCTTTATTCTTACAAGTGTTGAAATCATAGACAAGGCAAAATATGTAATTATTTATGAAGAACCATGAGGAGAAAAAAGAGTTCTCAAGGAAGATGAGTGTCACAGGTCACAGATCACATGCGGCATGAAAATGGAAAGGGAGTACAGGGTACAAGCAATGGGGAACCATCGAAGAGTGGGAAGAAGATCAACAAAGCCAAGTGTGGCTGGAAATGCCATGAGGAAGCCATTATTTTATATGTTAATTTGAAACACGGAGGAAAACCAGAGTCTGTTCTAGAAAAAAGTAAAAAGGCCCCAATTTTCATGAGGATTATAACACAGGCAAAGCCCATAAGAACAAATGATCAAATTAGATGTGAAACAACTATAGGGGAAGATAACTAAACCTTTACCAACAATACTGTTAGAACACTGGATTCATTATATTCTAGTAAATCGTTGTTTGCATGAATTTCTAATGCTTTATAAATTGAATTATATTATAAAGATTTTTGATAATTATAAATCTTAAAGATAGATTGTCTTCTGTGCATGTAATATTTAATTAATGAGTATATGAGCACATTGGATAAATAAGTATCTTATTTTTATATTTATTTTGACATATTTATCAATGAGTTCTTTGGCTATGTCAGGAGGGAACCATTACCAGAAATGATAAAGTCATGTCATGAGTATGGATGGATCTTTGGTTTGAACACCAAGGTAATAACATATTTAAATTTATTGTTATTATTATTATTATTAATTATATTTTACTTGAAATCCTTAGTGTTTACTCAAGGTTTTATTTGCTTCTCCTTTGTAGAAATGTAGGGGCAGAATGGGTATTCTAAATGTCTTAAAGGGAGAACAGAGTGATATAGGAAAAAGAATGAGCAAAGGGCAAACAGACAGTCTTAAAAATGTGAAGATTCTTCTGCTGGAGAAATGGCTTAGTGGTTAAGAACAGCTGCAAAGATAGATCAAGGGGTAAGAGCTCCTCGTGAGGATGTGGATTCCTCTCCAAGCACCCACACGGTGCCTAACAGCCAAATTTAACCTCAGTTTCAGTTGATCTGGTGCTTTCTTCTGATTTGTAGGCCCACACATAGTGCATATACATACATGCAGTGTGTATACATGCAGTAAAAACAACCATACATATAAAAATAAATACATTTAAAAATAAAAAATTTGAATTTTCTGTCTGTCTTTATTTCTGGTATAGGTAAATCATTTGAATCACATTCTCTAATGTTTCTTCTTCTTGATGCTGCCTAGCACATTTGTTTTGCTCTCCCATTAAAAATTACTTCATTTTCCATACTCCATGCTCTTAGATATTCATTACTGTAATTAACAAATGATACATGTCATTATCTAGTCCAAGGACATGAACGGATCTAGTATAGTTGAAGTATTAAGGAGTGTGAGAATCAGAGATGTAGCTACAACTGTGCATATTGGTCCCTATCTGCATGGTACTGAGAAAGTGCAATTTTTCTTCCTTGAATCTTGTCAACTCTTCTACAAAGAAATAAACCAAAATGTCTTTCTGTGCTATTCTAATCTTCTTATTCTTCTGTCAGGCACTAGGACTGCCTGAAGTGAAGTACATGCTTTCAGAAAAAAAACTTAGGCTGTATTATGTTGACAGATTGCTGTGTCACACAAACAAAAGAATAAAGTGATAGCTGAGTTAAATCAGAAGACAAAACACGAATTGTGAGCACTGTTGATGTATCAACTGTGTGAAATTTGATATTGGTTCAGAAATTACAAATTTTTTATTATTAATGATTAGAAGTGGTTAATCTGGTCTTGTGATAATGTCAGCCCTACCCGTTCTAATGTAAGGTATTTACTGAGGAATA